CCCCCAAGGCCGCGCGGGCCGCGGCCTCCCCTTCCTCTGCTCCTCTCTGCCCGCAGGCCGTCAAGCGCTTCCTGAAGCTGGAGTGCAAGTGCCACGGCGTGAGCGGCTCCTGCACGCTAAGGACTTGTTGGCTGGCCATGTCGGACTTCCGCAAAACGGGGGACCACCTGCGGAAGAAGTACAACGGGGCCATCCAAGTGACGATGAACCAGGACGGCACCGGCTTCACCCTGGCCAACAAGAACTTCAGGAAGCCCACGAAAACGGACCTGGTGTATTTCGAGAACTCACCCGATTACTGCGTGATGGACAAGTCAGCAGGTAAAAAAAAAAGTAACCATTAATAGCATTAAAGCAGGGAAGTGCCCTCAGCAGCTCCAGAAAGCTGCTGCTGCCCCTGTGCTCTCTGCTCCGAACGCCGCGGGCAGCCGGGGAAGCCGCCATCCTCGCTACGGGCTCCCTGGGGAAGACTAATGGTGTTTGCAGCACTGGAGCAGCCAGGAGGTTGCGTGCTCTGAGCTGCTAATTTGCTAATTGAGTCATTAGCTGCAGCCCGGGCTCTGGCAGCAGGAACACCTGCATTTACCCACCTGTAAAACTGTCACAGCTGGGGTCAGTGCCCAGCACACCCCCTGCAAACCACACGTGGGGGCTGGAGCAGGAGCAGATGGGGAAGAAGAGCCTAACCCCCCTCTGTTCCTCCCTGCAGGCTCCCTGGGGACAGCGGGACGCGTGTGCAACAAGATGTCCCGCGGCACGGACGGCTGCGAGGTGATGTGCTGCGGGCGGGGGTACGACACCACGCGTGTCACCCGCGTCACCAAGTGCGAGTGCAAGTTCCACTGGTGCTGCGCCGTGCGCTGCAAGGAGTGCGAGGACACTGTGGACGTGCACACGTGCAAGGCGCCCAAGCGGGCCGAGTGGTTGGACCAGACCTGAGCGCGCGGGAGCAGCGCAGGGAAGCACCAGCTGCAACCCCGGCACCTTTGGGAGACCTGCGACCGCAGGCCATGGCAATCTGGGAGTTGTAGCTCAACTGCATGGCTTTTATTTAATTAATTCTGCAAAGCACTAAAGAAAGGACTACGTTTCCCAGGAGGTACCGGAGACCCTTCTATTTGCGCAGCAAAACTAATCTCTGACCTAGGAGGAGTCTGCAATCCTTGCTTAAACCGTGGAACTGCGGCTGCCCGTCGCTCAGCAGGCCAAGGGACGAGCGGCCCCGGAGCGCAGCGCCCGGGGGGCAAACCCTGCATCTCCCCGAGAACTTGTTGCAGTCAAGTTTCACCAGCGCAAACTATAGCTCCAAATAAGAAACTCTTGCAGGAAGCACTCTTGCTTTTACCTTTTTGCGAGGCCAGGAGGAGGGTGTTGCAGGTTCTTACCCACGTCCGATGATGTTCTCCGGAGCAGAGTGGCATCCGACAGCAGCCGAACCGGAGCGGCATCCGCGCGGGAGCTTCTCCTCGCTCCCCAGCGATGGTGACGGTGGTGCTGGAAACGGTCGTCACAAACCCGGATCCCTGCAGAAGGACAAGGGCTTTCCGTGTCCTCACGGTAACCAGAGGGGTAGAGAGAGCAAAGCCTGTGAGCTGACTGGTAGGTTTGGAAGTCAATGGATGCAACAGTGTCTCTCTGTAAAACTCACTTGTATGTTGTGTATACTGCTTATTATTTTAAGACAGAATTCATTATAAACCTATATCAGAAAATGATGTCCTTTGGTTTTTGAGTTGCTGTGTATCCAGCTGTGCAGAGAACCCTCCATCCACAGCTCTTCATCCTGCCCTCCCGCCCCCGGGCTCTGCCCTTAGGCACAGACCTCCCCACCCCGTGAATCGGGCATTTTTCCTCACAAAACGGAGTCACTTGAGACCTATGGAGACCCTCCACAGGACCAGGACACCCCAGGCCACCTAGTGCAGGGTCAAGCAGGAGATCCCAGATGATTCCCTGGCTTCCCCATGGGGTGGGGAATCCTTAACAGCTCCCAGCTCCAAGGGGAGTGCTCAGAGGGGCAGGAGCCAGGAGCTGCCGGGATGTGCGGTGGGGATTGACCCTTCACAGCTCTAGGGATGCCCTCAACTCCTTCTTGCTTGTTTGGGCGAGCGCTGATGACAGAGATGCTTAATATAGTTTAAGGATGCTTTATAGAGACTCATTAAAAAGTATCAATCCACACAGACTTACTTGGTACAACTCTCATTTGTACACTAAATTATCCAAAAAGAAATTTACCTAAATCATTGAATTTTCTGAGCACACGTTGAAGCTTGAGAAGTGTAACACCCTCTGGCAGGCACCAGGGCTCTATTCACAGCCTGCAGGACTCATCACCGCAGTTCTGCGGTGAGTAACCGCGTGGCCGAGAGCTGCTCCCCTCTCACCCCGGTTTGATAAATGCTCCGGAGGCAGAAGTGGCGTCAGACGGAGCCGGGCAGGGGACGGCCCTGGGGCTCGGGGGGACCCTCGGAGCCGCAGGGCAGGACTGAACCGAGGGGATTATTCCTAACCCACCTGCTCCGAGCAAAGCGCCACCGCTGAGACAGCTTCACCCGATGGCCCTGGGAAAGATGAGGCTCATGAGGCGAGAGAAAACTGCTTTGACAGGAAGTGCTCGAAGAATCTCAGCCGCGGCCTCGGGGCAATCGCGGCGCAGGCAGCTCCGGAGACGCTTCTCTGGGAAAGCAGCATCCGCCAGTTCTGCTGGACCACGGACAAGTTACCAGAGAAACATTAACAGAACCACACGCGAAGGGCGGCAGCGACCCAGAACGCCGGGAACCCGACAGCAGCGCTGCAGCCCTCGGAGCGGAGCCGTCCGGGGAGCAGAGGCCGTGCAGGAAACTCCCGGTCTGTGCAGCTCTTAAACCCCTTTGCTCCACGCTTTGCGCTGCGCTTTCCAGGCCCGCCACCTGCCTCCTGCATATCGGGTCCAAGGACGCTGCACCTGGGCTTTGGGAATGGCCCGAAGAAGTCGGCTCCCACCTCCTATTTCACAGAATTAAACCAGAAACGTCTCTGCTGAACTCGGCGCGGATTAGGCCCAAGAGGGCTCAGCTGCATCTTTCCCCCTCTCACTGCTCGTGCAGAACTCGCAGCCAAGCTCACGCTTGTCCTGGAGGCTCCCGGGCGTCACCCCAGGCCCTTCAGAGCCCTCTGAACTCCAAGGACGGGCGGTTTGGACAGGGGTTTGTTCTGCTGCCGGCTGCAGGGATGCCGTGGGTGAACGGAGGAGGTTCGGGGCACATCGAGCCCGCTGCAGCCAACGCCGTCCGATCCACGCTCGTACATCTTCATCACTGCTCCACTTACCATCCAGTTCAGATGGCCTTAAAAAAAGTGCTGCCCCCTTTGCAATCAATCCAAGCGTCTCCTCCGTCCTTTCCCTGGAGCAACACATGCGCCACAGGCTGTGAAGGACCCTGTGCCACGAGACCCAAGGGTCAGCTCTTGGTAAACGCTGCTTTCGCTCCAGAGCACTTGTGGGAGCTCTATTCCAACAGAAATGCAGGTTCTTAGTGGATTTGTGGACCCACCTGACAAACAACGGCTTAATCATTGGCTCCTGCTGGGGTCCCACAATATTTCTTGTGCTTGAATGCTGCTGTTCAGCATTGCACAACACGGAGCAAGACGTCCTGAGGACGGATGGTCTCGGGTTTATTGCCTTCCCCCTTGTTGGCTGCAAACTCTATCATCAAATATTAAAGCTCGATGCCTTTATCACTTTATAGCTGAGAAGGCAACACGCCAGCTCCACCAGTTTTCACAGACAGGACTAAATTCAGTACTTCACAGCAATGAGTTCCAAGAACAAACACTGCAAAGCAGGTACGAGTATCAGCATCAGCCGTGGATGCAGCGCAGTCAGTCTGAGTCCACCAGGTGCACCACGTGAGACAGGTTTTCCTGCAAGGGACTTCAGCAGGGAACATGGGAG